TATTTTTAGTTGACCAATTAATTTCTTTCTATTTTTTTTTTTTTAGTAGAGACGGGGTCTTGCTCTTGCTCAGGCTGGTCTGGAACTCCTGAGCTCAAGCAGTCCGCCCACCTCGGCCTCCCAGAGAGCTGGGATGACAAGCATGAGCCGCCGCGCCCAGCCTGCTGTTTGGTTTTGAAGCTTGGCTCACAGTGGCTGTGCCTCCCGCCGCCTGTCCTCCAGGGCCACCGTGGAGAGGTCACTGCCTCGTCCCAGCCCTGTTGTCCCTTCCTTAGGGCCCGTCAAGGGCAGACGTGTTGTCAGGGACGTCTGGGACTGGCGTGAGGGTCTGTCCCCAACAGCTCCCTTCCCTTCTCCTCCCCAGCCTTCCGCTCCTGCCCGGCCACTGGGGCACGTGTCTCTGTGTCGCTGAACACGCAGGTGGCAGGGGGGAGGAGGAGGAGGGTGTGGGTGGCTCTGCCACAGGTCGCTGACCTGCCCTGACCCCAGCTCCCCGTCCGTGCCGTGGCGGACATGTGCATGCTGACGTCTCCTGGCCGTCTCCTGGGGCTCTGATGGGGCAGCGTACACGAAAAGGGCTTTGGAGTCAAGTGCGACTTGGAGATCCCTGAGGATGAGCAGGAGGTCAGCGTGGGGGAGGCAGACACCCTCTGCTTGCTGGGAGTGGCCTCTCCGAGTGGCCCCTGGCCTGGGTGGCTCTGCCTAGTCCCCTCGCTCTCTGCGATCCAAGCTGACTTTGTTTCCCTCTCTGCTTTCATTGTGATACAGTTTACATGCAATAATAACATGCACAGATTTTAAATGTAGAGTGATTAGATTCGGCAAATGTTTTCATGCCTGCCGTCCTAGTTTTCTTGGGGCCGCTGTAACGAATTGCTGCAAATTTAGTGGCCTTAAGAGTAACCATTTGGCCGGGCGCGGTGGCTCACGCCTGTCATCCTGGCACTCTGGGAGGCCAAGGCGGGAGGATCGTTTGAGCTCAGGAGACAGAGGCCAGCAAGAGCAAGACCCCGTCTCTACTAAAAACAGAAAGAAATTAGCTGGACAACTAAAATAAATATACAAATAATTAGCCGGGCACAGTGGTGCGTGCCTGTAGTCCTAGCTACTCGGGAGGCTGAGGCAGGAGGATCACTTGAGCCCAGGAGTTGGAGGTTGCTGTGAGCGAGGCTGACGCCACGGCACTCACTCTAGCCTGGGCGACAGAGCGAGACTCTTGTCTCAAAAAAAAAAAAAATAAAAGGGCAAAGGCAGTAAAGGACACGAAAGATTTAGCTTGGTTGCAGAGCGAGGGTGTTGGGGGCCTTGGCGACACACAGAACCGTAAGGCAGAGCGTGGAGACGGTGTTGGGGAGGGGCTGCAGGGAGACTGCGAGACCAAGGGGGCACGGGCAGGGCGGTCGGGACCGTGCTGTGTGTGGGAAAGAGCCGAGGGTGGAGGAGCAGGGACAGGGAGGAGAAGGCACAGTGGGCGCTGGGACAGACACCTGTCAAGGAGCAGGGACAGGGAGGAGAAGGCACAGTGGGCGCTGGGACAGACACCTGTCAAGGAGCAGGGAAAGGGAGGAGAAGGCACAGTGGGCGCTGGGACAGACACCTGTCAGGAGCAGGGACAGGGAGGAGAAGGCACAGTGGGTGCTGGGACAGACACCTGTCAAGGAGCAGGGAAAAAGGAAGGAGAAGCACGGTGGGCATGGGACAGACACCCTGTCCAAGGTCAAGGGAACCGGGAAGGAGGCCGCAGTGGAGCGTGGACACACACCTGTCCCACGGAGCAGGGACAGAGAAGAGAGAAGGCCAGTGGCACTGGGAACCGACTGTCGAAGGACAGGGAACAGGGAGAGAAGGCCCAGGGGCGCTGGGCGACGCTGTTCAAAGGCGCACTGGACAGGGAGGAGAAGGCCCAGTGGGCACTGGGACAGACACCTGTCAAGGAGCAGGGACAGGGAAGGAGAAAGGCCCAGTGGCGCGGGAACACACACTTTCAAGGGCAGGGACAGGGAGGAGAAGGCAACGAGGGTCTGGGCAGACGCCTGTCCAAGGACAGGACAGGGAGAGAAGGCCAAGTGGGGCGCCTGGCACAGACACCTGTCAACCGAGCCCAGGGACAGGAGAAGCCCAGTGGGTCGCTGGGACAGAGCCACCTGTCAAGGAGCCAGGGGACAGGAGAGGATAATGCCAGTGGCCGCTGGACACACACCTGTCAAGAGCAGGGCAGGAGAAGGGCAGTGGTGCTGGGACCGACACCTGTCCAGGAGCAGTGACAGAGTAGAGAAGGGCCCAGTTGGGCGCGGGACACACACCTGTCAAGGAGAACAGGGACAGAAGAGGAGAGGCCCAAGCCTGGGACAACACACCGTGCAAGACAGGGACAAGGGAGAAGGCACATGGGCGCTGGGACAGACAAACGCCTGTCAAGGGCAGGGACAGGTGGAAGGCCACATGGGCGCTGGGCACACACTGTCCAAGGAGCAGGACAGGGAGGAAAAGGCCCCGTGGCGCGTTGGAAACACACAGCCATGTCAAGGAGCAGGGACCAGGAGAAGCACAATGGGCGCTGGGACAGACACCTGCAAGAGCAGGACCGGGAGAAAGCACATGGGCGCTGGGAACCAACAACCTGTCAAGGAGCAGGACAGGGAGAAGGCACATGGGGGGACAGCACACCTGTCCAAGGAGCCGGGGACGGGAGGGAAGGCCCAGTGGGCCGTCTGGGACAAGACCATCTGTCAAAGGACGGGACAGGAGGAGAAGCCCAGTGGGCGCTGGGACACACACCTGTCAAGGAGCAGGGACAGGGAGAAGGCAACATTGGGCCGCTGGGCATGAACCCTGTCAAGGAGCAGGGAGGAGAAGGGCACATGGGCCGCTGGAACCCTGTCCACGGAGCAGGGACAGGAAGGAGAAGGCCAGTGGGCGCTGGACAGAATATGTTCCAAGGAGCAGGGCAGGGAGGAGAAGGCCCACGTGGGCGCTGGACCACGCCTCGTCAAAGGCGCAGGAGGGGAGAGGCACACTGGGCCGCTGGGACAGACAACCTGTCAGGAGCAGGACAGGAGAAGCACACTGGCCGCTGGGACAGCACCTGTCAAGGAGCAGGGACGGAGAGGCACTGGCCGCTGGGACAGCACAACCTGTCAACGGAGCAGGGACAAGGAGGGAAGGCCCAGCTGGGCGCTGGGGACACCAACACCTGTCAAGGGAGCAGGGACAGGAGAAGGCACATGGCGCTGGAAACACACCACATGTCCCAAGGAGCAGAGGACGAGAGGAGAAGCCCAGTGGGCCACTGGACCACCACCTGTCAAGGGCAGGACAGGAGAAGAAGGGGGGCAACATGGGGCGCTGGACACACACCCTGTCAGGAAGCAAGGATAGGGAGGAGAAGCACACGGGCCGTCCACGGGGTCAGGGTGACAAGTTGCCGGCTGTGCAGGTTGCAGCGCGTGGCGGCCCCTCGGGCTGCGAACCCTCGCGGCAGGAGCCGGGGGTGAAATGCAGACTTTTCGGGGGCTTCGGGGGCCGGTGCGCCCGAGTCTTCCTGAGGCTCGAGCCGGGCTGCTCCCCTGGTCGGGAAGTGCCGTCGTGTGCACGGGGGACCTGGAGCGTTGCAGGAAAGGGTCCAGCGGGGGAGTAAGTCGGTATCATACAACGGGGTTTTTGGGACGCTTCCCGTTTCCTTCTCGAAACGCCCGTCGCTTGTTGTATGATTTCAGTAGTGCGCAACAGCGTGGTGTCTTGCAAAAGGGGGAAAGTGAACAGCTTAAATGACACTGAGACGCCGGCCTGCGTCTACAGTGCGCGCTTTTGCCCTGCAGGGCCCGAAACCAGCGTGCATTCCGAGAGGCCCGATGAGCTGCCCTGTCATTTGAGCCTCTTCCATCTAACCACTGCTACCTGCCTTTGCGGACCGACGTGGCAATCACCTTTTTCTGACGATTTTTGGGATCGCTCTAGCCCAGTGGCAATGTTCACCAGCTCCGAGGCTTCCATAATAAACGATGCCCGTAGCTTTCCTGAGGACTCTGTATGTATGCTTGTTTCACCGTGTTTCCTGAAAATAAGCCCTACCCCCCACAAAACAATCCCTAGCAGCGTGTTGAAGCACCGTGCGCACAATAGAACCCAACCCCGAAAAATCAGCCTAGTTGGCCGGGCGTCGGCTGCGCCAGCCATCTGCACCCGTGGCGTGAGGTCGTCGCGCGAGCGGGAAAAGAACACGAGCAGCCCTTCCTTCCCCTCCGCCCCGTGACAGCTCTAGTGCTTCGCAGGAGAGAATCGGCGCGTGGCTCCTTAAAGGAAACAGAGTCGCAAGACATTCCACGGAATGGATCGGTGTGGGAGAAGATGAGGAATGATGTTCCAGAAGAAACGACTTCACTCTATTTGAATCAAATGTAAACGTGTAACGTACCCGTTAAAAAAAATATAACGTCCCCTTGAAAATAAGCCCTAGGGTGTCTTCTTGAGGAAAAATAAATATAAGACCCTGTCTTATTTTCAGGGAAACACGGTAGTTTGACTTAGGGACGTGTCATCCTAACCTGTTAATGAGCCCTGAACGGGCAGGCAGCACATGTTACTCACCTGTACCTGTGGTCATATGCAGAGGAGCGCATAGAAGTTCTTAAACAAATGACTGCAATCAGCACCCAGACTCCACAGTGTGTTTCCGTTGTTAGTGGGGTTGTCTTGTGTGTGAGCAGGGGTGGGGGGAGGTGGTTCTGGGTGGGCTGCAGTCCGCCCACCACACTTCCACATGCTCTCAAAGCCTTCGTGACCTTTCCAGCCGTGGCAATTTGTTCTAAAGGCTCTGCGTTGAAAGCCTCCGGCCTTAGACCCCGGAGAGCAGTGGTGTGTGCAGTGGTGTCCAGTGCTGGGTCTTCAAGCACTTGCGAGGCTTTACGGCGGCTCCGATCGCCAGTAGGTTTTGGTGTCACGAGTGGGACTCGGCAACTAGTCTTTTACGGTGTTGACAACCTATGGGCTTTCCTTTCCAGCACTCCTTTTTTTGCCGGTTGACAGAAGACAAGAAGTCAGAGAAATTCTTTAAGGTCTTTTACGACCGCATGAAGGTGGCCCAGCAAGAAATCAAGGCAACGGTGACAGTAAACACCAGTGACCTGGGAAATAAAAAGAAAGAAGATGAGACAGACAGGGAGGAAAAAAGGTAAACGTTCTTGAATTTTCCATTGACGAGGCTGTGAACAGCAGGAGTTTCTTGTTTCCTGTTGTTTTTTTTTTTTTCATTATTTGTAGATTCCAAAATGCATTCTCACTTGGAAAAAAAAAAGTCTGGTTCTGATATGATTCTCCTTAAGTAACCTGAGCTGAAGTCCTGCTGCTTGGGCGGATCTTCTTGTTTAATAAATGCATGAACATTCTTGGTCAACCTTAGGGTTTTATTAGCAGGGGGTCCACGAATATTCTTTTCCTGCGATTTCCATTTAACGTTAGAGAAAGTTGGGGGAGATACGTCATTTCAAACTGGGTGTCATTCCTTTGTCGGATAATTTTCCCTCGTTTTGCCAGGCATTTGAAAGTCTGTAAAGCTTTTTAGCCATCCCCCACTGGAAGAAAAACAGTACCAGGACGTGGATAGACCCACAGGTTGTGGAGTCAGACGGCCTTGAGCACGTTTTGCACCCTGAGCCTCACTTTCTAAGTTTAGAACGGCCACGTTCTCATTTCTCAGCCACAGCACAGTGGACATTTGGAGGGTTCTTTGTCATAAAGGCTGCCTTGTACGTTGTAGGATATTTAGCAGAATCTGTGGCCTCTGCCCAGTAGCAGCCAGTAGCACCCCCTGCCCCAGCCCCAACTAAAAACATCCCCAGACATTGCCGGTTGTCCCCTGGGTGGGACAGAAATCACCCCTAGTTGAGAGCAACTGGTCTAGAATGAGACTAAGGAGAAGAAAAAGAAGAAGGGTCAGTAAGTACTAAGTACTTACTATGCATTAGGCACCGTTCAAGGTTCTTTTTCTGTGTGTGGATTCATTTAGAACGCAAGTCAACTCTGTAAGATAGAGAAAATCGTTACGCCCATTTTACAGATGAGCAAACAGAGGTACAGGCACGGTAGTGAACCTGTTAGCACCTGCAGCTGGAAGGCAGAGGAGCCAGCGTTCCACTCAGGCACCTGGCTGCAGAGGAGACGCTGCTGACCGTGAGGCCACAGGTTCCTTGCTGGGCTGTTGTGAAGATGTGTTAGATGAGATGACACACGCGCACACAGTGCCTGACCACGGTGCCTTGGCGCCCTGCAAGGGGTCAGTCAGTTGTCGCAGTGACAGTCACTGCCGCCGCGATTAGCCTCACGTCGAACCTGCCCGGCACCCTCGCTGGGCGGAATTGGCCAGTGCCCCCATTTTACAGAGGTGGAAGCCGAGGCCCAGAGCCTTGGACCTGTGGGTTGGCAGAACCCGAGCGAAGGCTTTTCCTCTAAAACAGGGAGCGTAGGTGAGACGTCGGGACGAGTAGGGCGGCGGCTGGGCGCGGTTGCCGTGCTGTCTGAGGACCGAGAGGAGATGGGGCCTTGTGAGCGCAGGCCCTCAGGGGCCCGCATGTCACCTGGGGCGGGGGTGGCGCCCCTGGGGCCCCGGCAGCGCTGACCGCCGGCGCTTGCCTTGTAGCCAAGGAGCCCGCGCCGCAGATCACGGAGGAGGCCCGCGACCAGCTGCTGGACGCGTCCGCCGCCACCAGGAAGGCCTTCTCCACCTTCCGGAGGGAGGCCGACCCGGACGACCACTACCAGGCCAGCGGGCGAGGCCCAGCGCGCCGTACAGCCCAAGACGACTGGGAGATGAGCGCCGTCATCACCATCATGCAGCCCATCCTGCGCTTCCTGCAGCTGCTGTGCGAGAACCACAACCGCGACCTGCAGGTGAGGGCGGGGCGGGGTGCAGGTGAGGGCGGGGCCGGGTGCAGTGAGGCGGGGGCCGGGGTGCAGGTGAGCGGGGTCAGGTCGGAGGGCGGGTCGCAGGTAGGCGGGTTGCAGGTTGAGGGCGGGTGCAGTGGGCAGGCGGTGCAGGTGAAGGGCCGGGGTGCGGTGAGGGGCGGGGTCAGGTGAGGCGGGGCGCGGGACAGTGAGGACCCGAACACAGGACAAAAACTGGGAAAAAAACGGGGTGCAGCGTGAGGACGGGACGGGGAACAACAAGGCGGGGTAAAAGTAGAAGTGAACAAAGAAAACACGAAGGGTGCCGGTGAGGGCGGCTAACGCGGGGTGCTAAAACAAAGGCGCGGGGTGCAGAGAACGGGCGCCGGGTCCGCAGCGTATGGGGCAGGGGAGGATAGGGGTAGGGTGCAGGTTTCGGGTGGGGGGGCAAGGGCAGGTGCGGTCGAGGGGCGGGGGGGTGCCAGGGCGGGCTTCAGTGAGGGGACGGGGTGCATGAGGGCGGCACAGGTGCAGTGAGGGCGCGGCCAGTGGCGGGTGCAGGTGAGCGCGCAGGTGCCCAGGTGAGGGCGGGGGGCGGGGCAGGGGGAGGCGGGGCGGGCTGGGCCACTGGGCG